TGCCGTTCGGCGCCGGACCGAGAAATTGTGTGGGAATGAGGTTTGCGTTAATGGAGGCCAAGTCAGTGATGGCACACATTATCACTAAATACGAGTTCTTCCGCTCAAAGAGTACTGAAGTGCCGCTTAAAATACCTCGAGGAAAATTCGCACCACTGGTTATCACTATTGGGATCAAACAAAGACAATAATTGAATACATTATGAATCTCATGTAAAATATTCTCATCTTTGATCCACAATTTTTTATAAAATTAGTATTTAGTGGAAATAATTTTAAATGTTTGAATATTTTGTTAAATGTGATTTTTTAATTTTTAAAAATAATTATATAATTAATAAGCTCATAAACAAAAATATTATTTGTTTATAGTTATAATATACTGTGTAACATATTATGATTCAAAAACATAATTTTGTAGAATTTCTATTAAATGTACATAATTAAAGAGCTTTAGAATATTTGTTTATAAAATCCAAATATTTAATTTAATTTAGTATTTATTCATAGATCGTTAAAAATATATAGCAGAAATTTTAATTAATTTTCTCTATACGCTTTATCAGTTGTTTAATGCATTATTTTGAGTATTTTTATTATCACATGCCTTTCAAGCCGTTAAAGTTTCTTTTTATCTTAAGTAACACAACATTTCTATATTAATTTTAAATGTTAAAACAATCACTGACTTTATGGATACTTATACAATTACGTAAATTGTAACTAGTTTTCATTCTATTTAATAGAAATAACATAATTTTAGATTATATAATTGTATATATATTTAAATATTTAATGATTGTTTATATATTTGTAAGTCCAATATTAATTTATATTTAAAATAAAACCTTGTCAAAATCACCTTATTGTGTGATTTGTTTGCTCATAAATTCCGACCTTCAGTCTTAAGTTCTTTACATAATATAAAATATATTAATTCATTATAAGAATAATTATAAAATTTTGTATTTAATTTATAAATTATTGGCACAATTGGTTTACATCAAAAATAAATAAATTAACTAATTTAACACGTGTTGCCATTAAATTTTAAACTAATGTTTTTTAACTAATAAATAACTTTAAATTAGTCGTCAGTTAAAAATAGCACATATTATTCAATACAAACAATAATAAAGCAATACAATGCTTATACAAATCAGTGGTCAATACAATGGCTTATACTGTATTTAATACAAATCAATGGTTTAAAAAGCATTTTGTAATGTAATTAAAGGTTAGATTACTTATATCACTATTTTTCATATATCAATTAATATAAGAATTTAAACCGATTATCATTGCAATACATATACACAGCAATTGCATAGATTGTAACATTGAGTGTAAGCGTATTTAACAATAAAATAGCTGTATTTTAGTATACCATAGAAATAGTTGTAATGGAAAGTTAGGTTTATCGCGGCCTTAATGTACTTAATCTATGGATACAATCAATTTCTCATTTAAACGTTTTCCTAATGTAAATGTGAGACTAGATTTTTGGTATATAAAGTGACTCTCGTTTTACAATTCAATTATAACAATTAAATGTTAAGTTCTCAGACAAACATAACATTTTGCAAATTGTTTTTTAAAGTTTTCAAAATAATTTAAGTTTGTATTCATTATTTGATAGAAATAATTAAACTTAAATTGAAATAATGTTTTCATTGAGTTTTACTTCGTTTGGTGTTATAATTTCGGCACTCATTGGCCTTTATTTGTATGTGTGATATGTTTGAATAGTTTTATCAAGTTTTACAAAATATCAAATTTGATTAAAATATTTTTAAATTATTATTTAGATATTTGAGCCGTAATTTCAATTACTGGTCATCTCGTGGTATAAAAGGCCCAAAACCTATCATATTATTAGGAAATGTTTGGGAATTGTTTTTCCGTACTTTTCAAGAAGTTGAAGACAACAGACTTGAGAAATACGGCAAAATTTATGGGTAAACATATTTTGTTATATAACAACTTTAACACAATTATATAAATATAAATATATACTATGCATGTATATATTTTAATCAAAAACTGAATAATAACTGAATTAAATTATTTAATCCAAACTAATAGCGCATATATGGGATCAAAACCACAACTAGTAGTCGCGGAACCAGAATTGGTGAAAAATATTATGATCAAAGACTTTCACTTATTTGTGAATCATAACAATTTGGGATCTATTGATGAAATAGCGGATCATTCGTTGCTTTCAGCTGAAGATGAGGAATGGAAACGATTGCGATCTATTGTAAGACTCATTTACTCCAGGATTAGTTTACAAATTGTTATTTATTATATATTTGTCCAATTCTTGTGGCCATAGGTTTCTCCGACATTCAGTACCGGAAAGATCCGTAAAATGCATGCAATGGTTGAGCACTGCGTTAAAGGTGTGGACAAAATGCTGGAAAAGGCGGCGAACGGCGAGCAAGAAGTTGACGTGCGGTCACTAATGGGTAACTACACTATGGATGGGATCGCCAGCTGTGCCTTCGCTACGAAGACAGACACACATAACGATCCGAACAATCCATTTATAATCAACGCTAGAAAACTGTTTAGTCAAAACATGTGGAGATCCTTTGGGTATTTGACAATGAAACCAGTGATGAAATTCTTCAACATATCTATATTAGAGCCGACGACTACTGACTTCTTTAAGAAAGCTGTGAGTAGTTGTCATTTATTAGTGCAAGAATTTGATAACTAAATTATTAAGTTTAATAATTAATATTTTTTGCATTTAAAGATCACAGAAATAGTGAGTCAAAGAAAGAAAGACAAGAGTGGAGGCCATCACGACTTTCTGCAACTTATGATTAACGCACAGAAAAATGTGGACAATTTGGACGACATCGACGATAAACTGATGGCCGCGGAGGCGCACCACGGGATGGATGACAACAGCAAACTATTAACTAACAAATCCAAACTGGAAGTGTCAGACCTCGACATATTGGCAAATAGTCTTCTTTTCTTTTTGGCCGGTTTTGAGACAACTGGTCATCTGTTGTCACACATGAGCTATTTGTTGGCCATTAATCCCGAGTGTCAGAAGAAACTGATGGAAGAAGTGGTGGCAAACACTGACGCCAACGGAAACC